ACTAGTTTCATGCGACCAGAGCACAAAATTGAGACAAAAAAGTCTCCTTTCTTCAACTTCAACCCGTGCTGTCAAGAGTCACCTCGTTGAGAATGCAGGAGAAAATTTCCACCCAAAGCCATTTCTTCATTCTTTAAATTTAAAAATACGAATTCAAACAGCCTGCTAAAGCAAACAAACAGGTAATTTCGAGGGCACAGCGATAAGTCTTGTGTTAAGAGTAGCCTACAGGAAACGGAAGAAAAAAGAAAGTTCGAGTTTGAGTAAAAAGAAGCACATTGACTCAATTACGGTCATTTATTGTGGCGTCGGTGGCCTAGTGGTTAGGCTCTCGGACTCACAACCGTAAGGTCGTGGGTTCGAATCCCGTCAGGGACCCAACGTTGTGTCCTTGGGAAAGGCACTTTACACGAATTGTCCCCACTTCACCCAGGTGGGAATAGGTACCCGGCTATAGACAGCGAAAGATCTTGTCAGTTTGTTAGTGTTTGAGCGCTTAATCAGCTGCTTGCACTGTATGCTTCCCTGGAAGCTGAGAATGTTTCGGAGTGTTCTATGGTCTGCTGGGGTAATAATATAGTATAAAGTGCATAGAGCCTGCTGTTGAGCGGGGATATGCGCTATACAAATGCTGTTTATTATTATTAATGCTGGGAAGACAGTCAAACAGACAGAAACAACAGGGGGAAAGTAAAGAAGTAGGACCTACCAGTGGCACCCTCTAACTACTCACCGAAAACAACCGAGAAAGGCCAAGATAAAGCACAGAAGCAAACTTATTATTTGTGTCTTTGCATTAAGAATACACACACAGGCAGTACTCATCTTAATTTCGTGCTATGTTTGAAAAAGTAAGACAGACAGAAACAACAGAGGGAAAGAAAGAAGTAGGACCCACCAATGGCATTCTCAACCAACCACCCATCATTTGGCAACCCATTTGTACAAAAAAAATTCCTGCAGATGTTTTACAGCCCCATTGACAAAATTTAGATCATTTAAGAGGTGGGCTGCTTCTATGCTGCCTGCCAGAGCCAACCTGGGCTTAGAGGGCTACAGCGCCCTAAAAGATGGAGATACCTGATCAAAAAACCTGCTCACATAGGAATCAAACTCGCATCTTCTGTGAGCTATGCTGAAGAGCCTGACCGCTACTCCACAGACCTCCCGTCCAACCCATTTGTATGAGTTCACAGTCCTACACACAGACAGTCATTTCCAAAGTGGAGCTCTTGGTCCAGTGTGAGAAGAAAGATGAGGGTTTTCAACTCAAAAGTGAAGTCAGTCTTGTTGTATGGATGTGAGACATGGAACGCATCTCAGTCTCGCATAAAGAGGATCCAGGCTTCTTAAACAAGTGTCTAAAGAAGTTACTGAGAATCAGATGGACAGACAGGGACATCGATGAGGAAGTGTTAAGGAGGAACAAGCCCAGTCACATGATGTCTCAGATGAGATAGAAAGAAGAGGGTGGCGATGGGTTGGACATACCATATAGAAGTCAGGCAGCTGCATAACAACAAGGAAAGTGTTGTTTAATATCTCACGAGGTAAAAAAACCAAGGGGACACGTGGAACCTGGAGAGGAGTCACTGAAATTGATGTACAGAAAAGTGGGAAGACATGGAATAACTCAAAGAGGCTATCCCAGATTAGGGAAAAGTGGGAAATGTTAGTGCGTGGCCTATACCTTGATCCAAGGTCAGAAGGTCAGAAGGACAATGATGATGATGAGCAGGGCACTGCCCAGGTCATTCCGCAAAAACTTAAAACTTAAACACAACAGACATCAGGGGTGAGATTTCTCCTTGTTTGAGAGAACAACACTTCTCGGGCTTGATTTTCAAGTCTATGAAATCAAAACTTTTACAAAATTATTGTTGGCCACACTGCTGCTCTGTCTGCAATGTCTCAGCTATGAAAGGACAGGGGTTCAAGCCTATCCAAATGCCTCATTGCTGCGAGAACGGCATGATCATGACCCCAATGCACTACCAACCCGCTGTGTTTCAAGGTGTACCATAAATACAACGACTTTTCATAAAAAGCAAGACTGAAGAAGATCAGCGCCAGTACAACCAACATATTCAAGAAGGAGAAGTGGACAGTAATGAGGACGAACTGAACTCCAAGGGGCAGAGAAACATCTGAGAGTAGGAATAAATTACACCGTAAAAAAAAAAAACACCAAGAGGAACGGGTGAAATTTTTTATTTTTCATAATGTTCAAAATATCACAAGTTTTAATTAGAGCAACAACAGCAACTTGTACATGCATAGGTTCTAATCACGATGAACATGTTGAGTTGCTCTGTCACTGAATCCTCCATAAACTACAGAAACAAAACAAACAAACAAACACATCAATGACGTAATGAATGCCCTCAACATAAAACAATCTATAATGTTGTCTTTCTGTATTCTGAGCTCTTTGACAATTGGGAGCCTTCATGATTGTCTGCATTTTATAAAATACGAATTTTCAAACAGCAGCAACCATGTTCCCCAGCCAACTACAACACAAAACAATAATTACATTTTTTATAAGCCTTACATTTTTACACTACCATTTCCAAGTTATATAACAGCCCCCCCCCAACAAACACACACAAAAAATCATTCTACATTTTACTATCTAAAACTTTAAACAAAAGCAATGCAGACATTTTATAAACTCCCGCACAAATGGTGTGAGAGCCCAGTGCTGGCTGGTCATTAAGAATCAGAGACTCCATTATTACGTAGTTCTGGTGAGAATTGAGGGCTCAGAATAGCCATGGCTGTAAGGGTAAAAACATGATCAATGAACAGTACACTAAACACAACACACCATTTGGATGATGGAGCACTTGGGGGACAGAAAAAAGCTGTAAACAAGTGAGAGATGATACACCTAGATGTAATCATTTCTTAAATAACACATGCTAGTGCTAGGCGAGTCTATTTGTGTCACCACCAAGTGGAATCAGATGCTTGTCTATTTCTGGGCATGTGGAGTTATTAGTATCATCTTAAAGCTTGTTCATTTGTTTTGCCTTTGATAAAAAAAAACCCAAACCTATCTATCTTGAATAGAAGTCGAGATATTTGCGATAGAAGTTCACCCTGTTTCAGAGGTAAAAAAATAAGCGAGAAATTGGCTGCCAAAGTTTGGTGGTGACTTACAAGCTTGAGAGTCCTTGGAAACTGATCATTTACATTTTTTGAGCCTTCAATCAACGTATTTCAGTAAAATTTAGAAAGAAATGTGTTTTGAAATGGATGCAAAAGGTGTTGAGCCAAAAACCCCTACCAAAAATTCGAAAAAAAAGAGCCAAATTGGCGGTAAAAAGCAGATTTCTTCGATTTCATTATTTTGACATGCGCCTGATTTCACTAAGATGCCTGACATTCATTATCTAACATTCCCCCTCCCTCCTTCCGCCTGGGGATGTACAGCATAAGTCATTCCTCTTAGCTCATAGTCATATACAGACACTGGGAAAAGAAGACACCCACATGCGTACACCTTAGACCAGATGCAGACCATCTTCCATGAGAGAGAGAGAGAGAGAGAGAGAGAGAGGAGAGAGAAAGAGAGAGAGAGAAAGAAAGAGAGAGAGAGAGAGAGGGAGAGAGAGGGAGAGAGAGAGAGAGAGAGAGGGAGAGAGAGGGAGAGGGAGAGAGAGAGAGAGAGAGAGAGGGAGGGAGAGAGAGAGAGAGAGAGAGAGAGCACAATGTACGTTTTATTCCACTCTCTCCCTAGAGAACAAAGAAAACTGATCATCAAGCCTCTTCCTTTATCACCACTTACTGCTGCACGGAATATTGGCAAGGAATACTGTCCGTGTGCCCCTTGGCATCCTCTCAGCTCTCTGTGAGCACTTCTAGACTAGAATCAGAGACCTTCATCTTCAGAATAATATCGTGACATGATATGTGTAGCTGTCAAATCTGTGAGCTTTAACACTTTCCATCCATGCTGTGCTTACAACACTTGTCCCAACAGACCAGGATACACTGCACACAACACTTGTCCCAACATACAAGGATACAGATGCGATACATCAGTATTATACCTGTACCACATTTTAAAAAATTATTTTTTTATAGTAAAGGGTTTTACGGCGCTCGCAACTGCATAAGGTCATATGAGCGCCACCTGTACCTCAGCAAAAATAATCCAACCATTATGAAATTTTCAGCATACTGAGAAAATTGAAAGAGATTATCGCATGTTCACCAAAAAAGGAATTAGAATCGGAATTGAAAACATAAGATAAAAAAGCTCATTCATCACCCAAATTCTCATCACGCCGTAAGAGTAAAGCAGCACTCATGCTAGGTCTACTCGAAATAAAAACAATTTTTACTTCAATTGTTGTATACAAACTAATTTTTTTACCTCAAAGGCCACACAAACCATTCAGAAAGGACATTTAACTTTGACAAGTGCGTATGTCAAAAAGGAGATCATTGCTGCAACGCTTTTGTTGCTGTATCACAACGTCGCCGATCTCCGTCCCCTGGAGGACAGGGATGGCTTCTTACCGTTGCCGATCGGCGTCCCATGGGGGCAAAGTGTTCAAGTCCTGAGAGCACACTTTGGGAAACTACTTCATTTTTGTACGACAAACACGCTCCCGTCACAAAGGGGATTACAACAGATTTTTATGAAACCCAGAAATCTGGATGTCCTCAATGTGGGTGATCGCAGTACGACAAGGCACATCATTAGTGCTGGGCGGCTAGTTTCCAGATTATTGAAAGCAAGAAGTCATAGGAATCGACTCCGAACTCAATTACTTTCTAGTGATGTGATTTCTTCCAGTGGTTTCCTGGTTGGCTCCGAAAATCTTCAAGATTTAGGATAACTTTGATTTCAGAACGCTAAGAAGCACTAACTTTTTTTTTTCCAATAATAAATCTTAAAAAGAAAAAATTAATGATAAAAATACCTGGTGACCGTTGGTTTACTTAAGGGAGTCGGAACTTTTCTTCCGTAGCATCAATCACGGGAATCGATTCTTCGCCCAGCTCTACACATAATCTGATAGGTCATTTAAAAAAAATCAAAGTTCCCATTGTAAGAATTAATGATTAGCCTTCCTCATCAGTAAGTGTTGCCAAGCTAAAGGTGTCTCATTTTAAGCTTTAAAAAAATTAAAACTTGCCCCCGTCTCTCTTCCAACTATATGTAGGACCATAAGTCTACGTCAACTCATAGAACAATGCCTATCTTTAGCTACTATTGATCCAAACACAACAGTTGTATGCTTACTTTATAGTGGTGTAAGAGAAGTTAGCAAACATGTCTAATGAAAAAAGTGACAGCAACTGAGACATACTTTTTATAGTACCCCAAAAACCTGCAAGTTAAAACTGGCAGAAGATAGAGATGCCCTTTTTTGACAAAACTCATTATCACTGGGATGGGCACAGAGGGTAAAATCAGGACTTTGACTGTTCCCATAAACAGATAAGCAGAGTACAGGTGCTTGCAAACTGAGAAAGCATCCAATGGCGGGGACACACGCAAACATAAAGAATTGGAAATCACCCACTGACATGAAACATTTTATAATGACAAAAATGAGCAACCTCCAAAAATAAAAATAGATAAAGAGACAAAGTAACATACATAAAAATCACAGTAACTGAATTTCCAGAGAGAATTTTAAAAATCATATACTCAATCTGATCATTAGAAAAAGAAGAATCTTATACAAAAAGCTGAAAACCGAAAAAAAATCCAAAAAATCCGACATTCATTCCAAGCCGTGCACTTCTGATAAGTTTCCTGCTGTTATACCTCTTGAAACACACAACATTTTCCCCTTAGAAATCACACACTCAATCCAACGATATTGGAACCGATGACAAAGAATGCACACAACTGTAGTCTATTGTGTGGGAAACTAAATTCTGACTAAACATAGAGACTGAATCTTGTTGATCTCATGTCTCGTAAGAGGTCAACTTGTCAATCTCAGCCACCAACAGACATCAGCTGCATCCCATCCTGCCGGAAATCATGAACAGTTTTTAACGAAATCACAGACACAAGAAGCCTCCTCACTCAGCCACGGGGTCAAATGATGCAGTCCACAAGGCCGCCTGAGAAAACAAAGACTGCACTTTCCTCATTTTCTGGCCTGTCTCTGATAGGAAAAAAGCACAGAAATAAACGTAAAAATACGTCTCTCATGGCTACAACACGTCAGCCATATTTGGAAGATACTCATTGTCATATTTTTTCTCTCCCATCACAAACTGGTACAGTCCTGGCTTCAGTTTGTCAGCTGTTGCGAGGACAATGCGAAAATCCCCCTCCAGCTGGAGTCCCAGATCTTGTCGGAGGCGTTTGGTGGCAATACGGGTAGGGGAAGAAAAGAAAGAACTGTAGAGAAAAGAATGAAAGAAAGTTATTTTTTATCTTTTATTTTCAGCATGCCCCCCCCCCCCCCCCCCCCGACATTTTGCAACGTAAAAAAAGATATATACATTACATCCTAATGAGGGTCATATATGGTTTTAAAAAACCCCAACTTTACAGAAATATATTAAACATGAAAACCTACCAGTGCCATCCTACACCTACTCCTAAAAACTGGAAGAAAGACATTATTCAAAACAGTATTATCTAGCCCCCAGTCCAGTGCCTACCTTTCATTCAAACATATTTGGTCTTTGCAAAGTATGAGGAACAATTCATTTCCGGAAAGACACATCCGACTTTTGAAATCTAAAACAGTTGAGCCTGCAGTAATGGCCACCTGCACAAGACAATCACCTGTACAAATGGCCATTCCCATTTCTCTCCTCGAGTTTCTTTCATATTATAATGACTCTGTGTAAGACGTTCACCTGTCTGAGACAGCCACTTTTCTCTTCAACAAAGGGTGGCCGTCTAAAGACAATGTCGGCTGTATGTTAGTTGCACCCAAAAGTCTGTACACCAAACCATAACTATCATACTTTATAGCGAAAGTCCAACAAGGACTGCTTTCCTTGTGGGTGACAAAATGCACTGTCATTTTTCTCACCTGTCTCCCTCCATATGTTTGATCAGACAGAGAGCTCGACGCTGAAGGCTGTGCATAAAGTGCCTAATGAAAGACTCACGGATGCCATTTTCAGGGGGAAGCTTGTGGACCTGAAAAAGTAATATGTTGAATTAAAGTTCACAGCGAGTCTGCGTGACACTGGCAAAACTTTTTATTACATACATAAAAGATCCTGATTTGAAGAAACACTGAAAGGAAATGGAAAGGAGGAAACCACACCTGACTGCCCACTTACGTTGCTTTGAAAAAGGATTTTTATTTTCTTCTTAAAATATAGGCGTTTTTACATTCCCATCGACACAATTTGTACCAATCAGGAGGTGGGCTTTGAGCCACCTTGTCAGGACCAATCCCAACTGAGAGGGACACAATATCCCACAGAAAGAGAGATACTCAATAAAAGTTTTCCTCACAGAGGAATCAACTCAGGTCTTCTGCAAGTTATAATGAAGCGCCAAACCACTAAACCACAGATGCCAGTAAAATGGAAAAGGAATGACCTGGAGTTAGAAGTTGGTTAATTGCGAGAGAAAACTACAGAACTGAACCTTGGTTTGCTCAAATTGCATTATCTGCAGAGAGAGACTTAACTTTAAACCCTACTTGGAAAAGAATACCCTGTGCATAAAAGAGGGAATTGGGCACAAATATGTCCTGACCTCAGAACTTTCACACGAAAAACAAACATAAATAACACGTGGACTTCCTTGTGAATTTGTAAACCGTTATTACCAAAACTAAATGTGTGAAGATTGTAGATTAAGAGAATACCAATAGGAAGTGAATGGCCACAAACATTATTTTTCTTTCTTCCTCGTTCTCGATGGCAGCAGCTAGACAGTCACTCCGATGTCGCGCACAAACTGTGCAGTCTGCTTCAGATCTGAGAGATTGCCATAGAATTTTCTCACAAGGGGAGTCACATCTTCAATCTGGGTCATTTTGGCTCCTTCTTTAGCCAAGCCGTCTGCTTTTTCATTTCCATGAATGCCACAGTGACCTGGTATCCACTGCAGAGTTGTGTTGGCTTGGGAGTTGAGATCACATAGGAGTGAAAGGAGTCGTCATACTTGAGCTGATGACCCATCTATCCATCCTATGTAGATACCTCCACCGCCGTTTCTGATTGCATCAGTTGCTGATCCATCTGTGTAAACTCGATTCCACCGGTTGCTTGGGAAGTTTCTGTCCAGGTAGTCGAGTGTCAGTGACTTGAGTATTGGAGGAAGGACTTCAGATTTGGTGCCAAACTCTTCTAGGTTCTCTTGAATTTGAGGGGGTGTTTCGTCTGAAGAGGGAGGACTTGACACAGGTCTAGTGGGGTTGGAGATTTTTCAAGAGATATTTCGAGTCCAGAGCTGGAGTGTTTGGCCATATGGAGGAAGCTTGTTCTTTTTAAGTGTTTGCTCTGGCTTTTGGGAAGATCTATCCTTCATTGGATGGGTTGGCATTTTTTTAACCTTTTCCTGATGAACAATCGCTTTCAGATCATGTCTGTCGCTCAGGGGTTCTAGCCCCGCTAGTGTTTCCATGACATGAATGGGAGTAGATCTCATTGCTCCCGTGATGATCCGTAGATTTTGATTTTGGATTCTCGTTACTTTGTGGAAGTTGCTGTCTGATGCTGTTCCCCACGCTGCGATACCATATTCCAGGACAGGGCGGATATATCCAACATAGGCTCCTCGTAAGACGGTGTGGTTTGCTTCCCAATCTGACCCTGCCAACTTTCTAAGCAGTGCTGTTCTTCTGTTACCTTTACTTCTGCACTTCTCTGTTTGAGCTTGCCACGTTAGTCTTGGATCAACTTCACTCCAAAACAGGTGGGATTTGACTCGTGTTGTAGAGTGTTTCCATCAAGATGCAAGTTTACCTTTCGGGGTTTGGGTGAGAGGCTGAATGTTGTGTACGCGGTCTTGTTCTTGTTGATCTTCTGTCCCCACTCTTCTGTCCACTTCATCATGTTGTTAAGTGTGCTTTGGAGTCGTATCTGGGCTGTTCCCACTGATTCTGCCGAGCATAAAAGAGCGATGTCATCTGCGTACTCCGCTGCTGTCACTTTCTTGGTGATGGTGGTTGAGATGTCGTTGAGGAAAATCAGGAACAGGGTCGCTCATAAAACTCCCCCTAGTGGGACTCCATTACTGATTGTCTCCATTTTGCTTCTTTTTCCTTGCAGTTTCACACAGGCTCTTCTTTCCTTGCAGTTTGACACAGGCTCTTCTTTCCTAGCAGTTTCCCACAGGCTCTTCTTTCCTTGCAGTCTCACACAGGCTCTTCTTTCCTTGCTGTTCGACACAGGCTCTTCTTTCCTTGCAGTTTGACACAGGCTCTTCTTTCCTTGCTGTTTCACACAGGCTCTTCTTTGAGACAGGTATTGTGAGATCCATTTCAGCATGTTGTGAGAGACATTCAGATTTTGTAATTCCAGTACGAGTCCTTCTGTCCAGACTTTATCAAACGCCTTCTCCAGGTTGATCCAGACGGCTACAATGTGTTCTTTCCTTTGGAAGCCGCCCTCTACCATCTGAGCAATGTATGTAATCTGGTCTTCGGTTGATCGGTGTTTCCTAAACCCAGCTGGGTTATCTGATAGAAGATGGTTTTTTCTCCAGGAACCGGCAGAGTCTGTAGTGGAGGATCCTCTCTAGAAGCTTGCACAGACAGCTGGTGAGGCTGATTGGGCGGTAGCTTTCTGCACTGTTCTTGGGTTTTCCATCTTTGAGGAGGGGGTATCTGTTTAGCAGTTTTCAACTGCTTCTCTTGCTGTGGTGACTTTGTCGTTAAGCATTCTGAGCTCATCAGACCAATTTGGAACATAGTCCTTTCTAGCTCCTCTGGGGATGGACTCTTTTGCCACTTGCAGTATGGTCTGTGTGAAATAAATGTGTCAACCTTGATGACCAACAACAAAGGCGTGAGGCATGCAATTTTCACTCATCCAGTCTTGAGTCTCAAGATCCACGCCGATTCTACTGCTCCTCCCCTTTACCTGTCCAAAGTGTATAGCTTTTCATCTCTGACTGAGTTCCCCTGCCTTTGTCATAACAAACCAATTAAAATTCAGGTCTAGATAATTCAGATTTGGAGACCACTGTTGCAATGGTAAGAGAAACAAAAGCATTGAAGAATTCACTGTACCACGTGATCCCATCTGATGTGGACTTGCAGGCCCTACCCACTAATCTAAAGAGAAAGTTTCAGTAAAATTATCTTCCATGAAAATCATGCGCATTGACTATTGGACCAGCATCATTATCAATGAAGACAGATTAGAATAAATTTTTAAATGTTTGAATAATCAAATCATAACAAAGAAGACTTACATTATCGATCAAATCTTTCACCAAACTTTCTGGAGCATTCACATTTTGAAATGTGCCTGCAGGCCTGCAAAAAAATATAAGAGCAAGAAACATGAAAATGAATGTCGGTACAGCACAAAGTCAATGGGACTGTACAGAAGCCAGGCCAACACTCAATACAATCAATATTCCAAAAGTCCACGCATAAGCACAGTCTTGTAAGCAAAATTTTATTTTATGAATGCAATAATGAGCTCGTGGTCAAACAAGAAAACTAAGGACAAATAACATAACAGATATGTGATATTAGAATAAATTTTGTAGTTCTTTACAGGGTGATAGTAGTAAACTGTCTAATGTGACACTGGGTACTAAGTTCCCACAGGGTCTGACGGCACTGAAGGCAAGGTATTGTATAGGCTTAGGGATGCTTATAAGTGCTGGGACTTCTTTATCATCCATTTGTGAAAAAACTGAGCCATGTGGATCAATGCCATCACATCTCAAATTACAACCTGTCAGGGAGTTGAAAGAAGGATGTCTGCATAGCAGCCCAGCACTAATCCCGCACCCTTCTGGTGTTAAACAATTATGATGCTAACGATCAGTCTAGATAAATTTGGTTATGTTGAATTCCTTGTATAAAAAGATTTTTTTTTCCAGGTCAGTCAGATCAATTTACAGGTAATAATTTAGTTATCTTAATTTCAAAGCTCTGAAAATAATATCTTTAGGACTTCAAGCACCTGAATTGTTCTTCCTTTCCAAGAGGAAGTGTAAAACAAGCACAATGAAGCCAGGGAAAAGCCCACTGGGAGGAAGGGACAGAAATAACATCACATAAAGTGAGAGGACACACAACCTCTTTGAGAACTTCCAGTATTTCCATCTTCCACTAATGGTCGGGGCACACAACCAGCTTCACGCCCATTCCAAATAGCAGGGCTTCTAGAACACATGCAGGTGGAGGGATGGAGAGAGGAGGGAGAGCAAGAGAGAGAAAAGGTACAAAGAGCTGACAGTACAAATTGCTTAGTACATAGCTTGAGAGTGGAACTGGAACATGTGCATAGCCAAGTTCAGATGTGTTTGTGTTGCCCATGGCAACATTACTTTTCATCTTCTTTTTCTTTCTTCTTCTCAATTGTATCGCAATTAACTCTTTTCCTACCAGGCCAAAATCGACCACTGGCCCAGGGCTTTTCCCGGACTTATTTTTACGCCCATACAATCCCGCCAAAGGAAAATGTCAAAACATCCAACTAAACACACACAAACCATATCTTACGGCCCGTCAAACTGAAGGTTAAAAAATAATCTATCAGATGGCGATATAATATTGAAGATTTATTCCAGTTATATTAGTTTGGGGTTTCTAAAAGTGATTATGCAATATCGAAGGTGTCATATGAAATCAACAATTTTCCAGGTTTGAAAGGTCATATCTAAAAAAAAGTACAACAACAGCATCATTCAAACTTCCCAGGTAGGTTGCCTCAAGTAACGTGAACAAATGTTGAAAGTTATGTATGTGTACCTAATATAGAAGTGAAAATATGAGACATATACAGGGGAGCGCTTTTTTTCCTCATATTTACGTTTCAAATGGGACAAAAAAAGCGCTGAAATGACTAAAAATCGTCTGTCAGTGCAATATTTTCTTTCGTATCTGCTAACAGGAAGTCTATTCTATTATTTTGAAAAAGTGGATAGGATGAGAAATTCTGTGTCTTTTCATTTCTGGATTGGAATAAATAGCGAGCCGCTCGAGCCGTACATTGCGGCTCTCAGTCCAGCGAGGCCAGGTCCGCACGGCTCGAGGTTGGGAAAGTGTTAAAATCCCGTATCTGTCATACACTGGGCCGTCCTGCTCAGTTCATCTGTCGGCCTGTATAGCTTCTCTTGTAGTGTCAATGGGGTTGGCCACGTTTCCTGTCTCAGGGCCCTGTATACTTTTTATGAAAGTAAGTCGGTTAATTCACAAATACTAAGCAAGGTGCTCAGTGGTGGATTTTTTACTGTTAATTTATTCAGTGCATACAGAGGATTTGAGCTTGATGAATATGTGGTGAGTGAGATCCACTAGAAGAAATCTTTCATACCCATTCTCATAGCCTTCATGTCCCTTGTATAATTCTTCTAATTCTTCTGCTAGTGCCTGGTGGCGTAAACGTCGGTGGTCTGTTGCAGAACTGGACTGCATCACATCGCGGTGCTCCACATCAATGATGGTGGTGGGATACCCACTACACTGCAAATCTCTGATTGCCAGATTGAAAGAACCGTCAGCATTCTGTGAAAGTTCAGAAAAACAAACTTGCATTAGATTCAATCGCCATATTGAAAGTACCATCAGTATTCTATGAAAATTGTTTCAAATATGACAACAAACTTGCACGTGATCTGATCGCCATATTGAAAGAACCATAGACATTCTGTGAAAGAAAAAAAAATACAACAATAAATTTGCACATCATCTCTCACCACGCTCAATCCATCTACGAGACCACATTTCTTTTCCAAGGGTCTTAGTTTTAGTTTTAGTAGAGGTTTTACGGCGCTCGCAACTGCACAAGGTCATATGAGCGCCAGAAGATTAGTGGTGTTACAAGAGAGTAACGAACATAAAAAAGAAGAAGGGGAGATAAGGATGATAGATATTTCATAGGAAAGAAGAAGCAAACCACACCAGAGCACCCACCAACCACCCACACTTATTGTCTGATGAAGTCCCACACGAAAAGGTTTTGTATTAACAGCTCATCTAATCAGATCTGCTCAAATATAGTTTGCGTTTGAAACTTTAGTTTTATTGTAATAAGCACCAACAGCATTACGCTGTTTAATAGCAACTTAAGAAAGGGCAGACACAGTGTTAACCACTTGCCTTTATACACCCCTGGACACCGAGGTCCTGGTAGTAGGGCCAGTTCCTCCCGGAGAGTGCGGCGCGAGAACACAGCCGCTCGCTGTCCCAGCAGAAGAGGCCCAGGGTGTAGACCAGGACGTTGACCCTGTCCACATGCTTGCCCATGACCACGCTGCGGCCAAAGGTCATGAGATGAGAGGACACCATAAGCCGGAGGAAGTCCAGCTCTAAGGTGTGGGCTGGACAAAAAGCTGTGTAGTTTAGCTGCAGGAAAAATAGAAAGATGTATGATAATATAAATTGCATTTATACATCCCATATCAAATTCCTCAGCATGCTGTATGTGCAGTTCAACTACATTTTGTATTATTATTATGCCAGCAGACTCTAGATCTAGAACATGAATCAGAAACTATCTTGGCTTACTAGGAAGTACAAAGTGCAAGCTGTGAATTACACAATTCTGCACCAACACCGTGAAGGTTACTAATGAAGATTGTTCACTGCTACTGACTTGCACCTCAGAAGCACAGATCCCACTGCTTCTTCAATACCAAAACCAGAATTCATAAGAAATGTGCAGAACAGGACCAGTACGGCATAGATTTTAGAGTTATGCCCATGAAACATTCAACATTCCACCTATCCAAAACAACTTCTACAATATAATAACAAACTATCACTAAATGAATATAGTGGCAACAGCACCATAAAAAAGCGAAGTACAAGCATAGAATACTTTAATAATTCTTCTATCTTTACATCATGTCTGCCCCACCAGATGCTTTTTTATGAGAGATCTTTACCTCAATCTCCCACCAGATGATTTTTCATGAGAGTTCTTTACCTCAATCTCCCACCAGATGTTTTTTCATGAGAGTTCTTTACCTCAATCTCCCACCAGATGTTTTTTCATGAGAGTTCTTTACCTCAATCTCCCACCAGATGTTTTTTCATGAGAGTTCTTTACCTCAATCTCCCACCAGATGTTTTTTTATGAGAGTTCTTTACCTCAATCTCCCACCAGATGTTTTTTTATGAGAGTTCTTTACCTCAATCTCCCACCAGATGTTTTTTTATGAGGGTTCTTTACCTCAATCTCCCACCAGATGTTTTTTTATGAGGGTTCTTTACCTCAATCTTAGGCGGAAGGCCCACTTCTTGGAGAGACGACAGCATGTCCATAAAGGACCACAGCCATGAGGAGAGGTCAGCCAGGCCAGACGTGCCAAAGTCTTTCTGTTTTGTTTTAAGTAGAGTAAAGAAAAGCACATCGATGCAACAACGATAATAATAAATAAAATAATGGATTGCATTTATATAGCGCATATCCACTTATGCAATGCTCTATGCGCTTAACATGATACATAATATGGATTTACAAATCAATTTTAAAGGTACATAGTGTTACATACTTGTGCAAACACATATTCACTCACGCACGCACCACACACACATACGTACATATACACATACACACATACAAACTCACAACGATTTACAGCTTGGATGGATTCTGTCTAATCGAAATATGATGAAAATAGAAATGCTTTTAGTTTCTTCTTAAAGATTTCTAGATTTTCTGCTTCTCTGATAGTTTTTGGAAGCCTATTCCAAACAAGTGGGGCAAAATATTAAAAAGAGCATTGGCCATATGATTTGTAATTTATTTTAGGCTTAACAAGGGTTGTTTTGTCACTTGATGATCTGAGCGTTCTAGGAGGCACATAGGGTGTTAAAAGCTGTTTCAGACAGTCCGGTGATAAATCATTTAAGCATTTGTAGCAAGTTAAACGATCATTTAGTGCAGGCCACAAAGGTTGACGGAAATGACAAACACCAGACAGAAACGACAAAAGGAAAGACAGGAAGTACGACCTACTCAAGGCAGCCGCTAAGTCTGTCGGTGGGATCCAGAGGAGAATATCAAGTAATCAATAATACCAGAGGAGAATATCAAGTAATCAATAATACCAGAGGAGAATATCAAGTAATCAATAATACCAGAGGAGAATATCAAGTAATCAATAATATGAATCCTACAAAGCTATGACCCAAGGAAGGTTTTTCCCCAGACTTCATTGTGCTTTGACTTGATGGTTGGTGCTGTTCTTTAGCTGTTGACCAAGCGACAAATGGCTCATTAAAATGGACAAAATATATACATATGTTCTTAGCTGCCAACTTTCCAAAACCGAAAAGTCAGGACTCTACCCACACAGCAGGGGAAGATGACGGGCATTGGCTAGGTAAATCCCTCTGTAACCTTCATACACACTTTTCTGCATTCAATAAATTAAAGCTATTCAAAGAGGATCCGCGGCGAAAGACCTCTCCAAAAGACTTATGGGCTTTGTTCTCATTATCTTTCACAAATCCAGTCTTGAAAATTCATAATTTTTATTGAGCATCAGCCAGTCCATGAAAAGCAATAGTGGGAAAACAGAGACTACGGAGACTACAGAATAACTATAACACGGACAGGTGGAACATACAAGGCTTGAAGTCACGCATCCGTTGAACTGTGCCCGGAGTACCGTTTCTTTTCTTTCTTCTTTATCTTTGTAAGATATTCTTCAAACTACGGAATCCTCAAACTACCGAGGCCGGTCCGGTCGAATTTGATATATATTCGTGTTATACTGTGTATGTATTTTCCAATAAGAAAACAGACTTTTATACATGTTCCATTCTTAGGTTTGTTTTGGAGTTGTCTCCTGATTTGGTGTCGGATATTTGTGACTTGCAAAAACAAAGTGTCAATAGGGTAGCAACTGTTTTGCTTCAAGGTAAAACAAAACAAGAAAAAGGACAACTGTTTGGTAATTGATGACGATGATGATGACGATGATGATGTATGTTCCATCCTACAACTGTAAATCTCCTGTATTGTCTAACACTTTGAGGGTCACTTGGTGCAATAATGCAACAGTGAAAATATTTTGTTCCAGTCACGTGGCGCAGAACTGCGCCAGGCTTGAGAAGTGACCAGATCGGGTATTTTGTACTGCTGACTGTGTGATTGCAAAGTGATAAACAAAACTATTTTCATCCAAAAAAGCAAAAAAGAACCCTTCTCAAGAATCAAAATGCTTACCATTGCACAAATGACTCTTAATTTTGCTACAATTCTTGTCATCCAAGAATGAATTAAGTCTACCTGCAGAAAAGAAAAAAACAAAAAACCCAATTAATTTGATTGATATCAAACATACAAAATACAAAAGATTCATAAAAAAAGCATCGGTGACAATGGAATGGAAATGTCAGGATTAATTTCTAAAAAGTTGAGAAAAAAGATGATCCGTTTCATCACTGACTTTTAAAGGCAAACAGTCTGAGCGGTTGAATTTATGCTGTATGAAAGAGAACCCTCTGGTCGTCACCGGCATTGTACCAGCGAAACATGAGAAACTTTTTAATGGATGTCAGACAGTGAGGTATTATTTGCCTTCTCAATGTTTCCTTTTGGTCTTACATTGTTCTTATGAGCAGTTGTAGTTATATACAGTTCTTTCAACTGTGATTCTACAGTTAGTTGTATGACATGGAGTCAGACTTTTCTGCCAAAAGCTTATATATAATGCACATATATATGTCAGAGCACATCATTTGCTTAGTTGTTTTTTTTAAAACAAAAGCAAAAGTGTGTCCTCTTCAGTAAACTTTCTATGCATTTCTCAAGCACATCCACCTATAGCAAGTTCAGAAATCATATGAGCCACCATGAGTGCTACTCAAAACCCACTTTTATGCTCGTCTGTCAAAAAAGGAGATAAAATTAAGATAATAGGACACAACGTGAGAGAGAAAAGGAGTCTCACTTGATGCAGGTAAAGAGTAAGCTCTGAGTTGGGAATGACTAATGCTAGACTTTGCAGAGCGAGGCCATTGCTGCCTTGTGCTGAGAAAATGAATGCTGGAAAGATGATCCCTTTATCTGGAATGTCAAAGAACTTGAAGTCTATCTGTTGAGCAAAAAAAATTAGGGAAAAAAATTACACAACAAATGACTCATACATAACACTCACTTTTAAATGATTTTATACTAAGTAGATTATTTCTTTAAAAAATAGCAGAGCATTTTCATCGCACTGCAAAAATGTATAAAATGAACAATCAGCTAAATTAGAACATTGCAAGTTTCAATTTTTTTCCAAAATACATTGAAAGGGTACTAAAGGAATTTACTACTCCGAGAAAACAAGAATCAAATTCCGTTAAGGACAACCCAGGTCCGTATGTGAACATTCACAACTCTGCACAATAAATACACTTCAGAGAAAATTGACAAGGCTGATGACAAAAAGTAAAGAAAGCGCATAAGGACTAAAAAAAGTAAGTGTTTTTTCAGAAAAAGACCAGTCCGGTATATGAACAATATTCCTAGATCTATTAATAACAGATCTCTTAAAAACAAAATATCTGCCAAAAAATTATAGGACAACACATTTTAGTTTCACTGTTCGACCATAGGGCTTAACAAAAGGGGTGAAAACTGGCACTAGTCAGAAGTAATCAATGTCACATTTCAAACTCTCTCATTCATCCCCCCTCCTAAAACAAGGTTAGAAAAAGTAGTGTAGCAGATACTTCATTAAATGCAGTAACATGTGAGTCAGCGTGATGGAATCAGGCTCTCGTCAAAATAATCAAATCAAAGATATGTGAGTCAGCGTGGTGGAATCCGGCGCTTGTCAAAATAATCAAATCAAAGATATGTGAGGCAGCGTGGTGGAATCCGGCGCTTGTCAAAATAATCAACTCAAAGATATGTGAGTCAGCGTGGTGGAATCCGGCGCTTGTCAAAATAATCAACTCAAAGATATGTGAGTCAGCGTGGTGGAATCAGGCTCTCGTCAAAATAATCAAATCAAAGATATTGGCATTTTTCAGCCCATTTGGCAATTCTTATCAAAGTTTTTGTTTTTAAGCTCAACAGCTTTTGTGTCCTTCTAAAAACACATTTCTGTTTTTGTTATCCTGAAAAACGTTGATTAAGGGTACAAAAAATGTACATTTTCAGTTTTCAAGGACTCTCACGCATTCAAAGATACCAAGCTTTGGCGGTCATTTTCTCCCTTATTTTTCCTCTGAAATCAGGTTACCCTACTTACTTCAATCACAAATATTTCGACTTCTATTAAAGATAGATGGGTACTTTTGTCACTGAAAGATAGACAAATGAACAGGCTTTAACTTTAAGATGACACCAATAACTCCACATGCCCAAAAATTGACGAGTGCCTTATTCCACTGCATCGTGACACATGTGTGCTAAATATCATACTACCTTCTTGCACCATAAAACCAATCTTATCTTTAATATAATCTGTTGTGCCATGCGATCAGCTTTGTCTTTTACTGGTATAAAGTTATTGCATGCATCATGCAAAATGAATATGACCGTTGCACAAAGAACACAGGTCTGTTTTATGAAGTACTTGTAAATACCTGGCTAGAGTGTACATCCCTGCAAATTTCCCCACTGAGCACCTGTCCGGTGATGAAACGCAGTATGTTGGTGTGAGGCTGGGGTCTGCCGGTGACATACCAAACATGCTCCAATCGAGGCCCGAGAATGTTGTCCCACTGGCACAGCAAAAGGGCGTCCACAAAGCTGTGCTCAATGTTCCCAATGGAGGACACAGAAAAGGCAGAGCTGGGGCTCACAGGGCTCAAGGCACTGTCCTCGAACAACTCTAAGCCGTTATACGACCCCTCAGAGTTGATGGTCATGACCCCAGAGTCAGAAGAGAGACTCTTTTGGGTGACTAAACTGGACGGCTGATTTGGTCTACTTGAAGCCATGGTAAAATTTAATATATTTAGGGTCTTAATGTTCTCTGATGTCTTTGAATACTGCACAGGATAAAATTGTCTGTTTCTTGAAAAGCAGATTATAACAATGGAAAAAAAAATATTCAGGACTTTACTATCTGTCTCAGATTTGATATATGGCTTTAATCTCTGTCTGTAGTCGAATTGATTCAACTAAAAAATTTGCTATCACCAAGTCGATAAAGATAAAGCTGAGAGCCATCATTGACAAAGAAGTCATGAAATCCTGATGAGTCTGTGATGTGTGAGTCATCAACATGATGACAAGAACAAAAGATAAAACAACCACTGAGAAAAATGCATAGTTCACACACAAAATGAACAGAGCTTCTCTGTTCACAAACTGCATATTGATCCCTCCCAGAAGGAAAACGGCTTCATCCCAAATCATGAGTAGTCTTCCTTGTGTTTCAGTCAAACAGGAAGATCTATTTCCTTTTGGAACTGATCACCATCCATTTTGCGAACAGATGAGCTCCCAATGCTGAGGGGAAAAAGCCACAAAAGTGAAATTAGGCAAACTTCTAATACTATCAAATTGTGATGGATGGGCAAGGCTTGTAAGAAGTTGAAAAATGGTTTCACAAATCGTATCTGACTGAATGTGTTTCTATCTCTCCATATTCTTGCATTGATCTAGTGCTACAGTTTCTTGTGCAACTGGTCATGATAAAATCTTGTTTTTGCTAATCTACTACTCACACAGACTTTCCATAAAAACTCAGATCACGACAAAGAAAGTGATAGAAAACATTCCCACTCACCATCTTTGTTTTTTTGGGTTTTGTTTTTCTTCTTTCCACAATTGAATAAATCTACTTTTGACATTACTTTTAAACAGAATCATAATGCATGTGCCTTATAGTTTTCTAGAAACCTCTTCCATCAGATGAACTCTAGGAATAGAAGTTATTTCGATAGATAGCTTATCATTGTGCAACAATACAAGGATCCTCACCACATTAAAAAACAACAACAGAACAACAGGGGGGGGGGGGGAGGTATGGACACTTGTTCAATGACATCTGAAAGGAAAGTCCACCATTTCCAGTTTAATACTTCTATATTTTGTATTATAATGTTATTTCAGATTAACACATACACAGATTTTGGCAGGAATCTTCTCACATTTACTAACATTCTGTTCCATCTATGATAGCCAGACTTGTTAAACAACTCAACAAGTCAACATTGGTAGAAATCGGCACTGGTTTTTGATAAACCTGCATATTTGTCTTGATATCAAAGTGAAATAAAAACTTTAAAAAGGCAAGAGTGTCAAGACATGACTCATGGATAAATCATCAAAGTATGGTGCTGTTTCACCCGTGTGGTTTTCGGGGCCCTGTCCAAGAGACAGGGGAGCAAAGAATAGGACCACTTCCGTACCGCGCATGTTGTAGAAGGCGACTAAGGTCGGTTGGGCAAAGGGTTAGCAGCCCTTTCCCGTAAAACAAAAAACAGCAAAAACAACACGACCACCAGTTCTGGAAGATGGAGGACCTTCATCACCGAGGAGAGGAGAGATGGAGTGTAGAATGATGCAGGGTGGTGAAAGCCGAAAGGAAGCCACGAAGCCAAGAAACCTCCTGTCGACCAGAAGACCAAAGATGGCATGGAATGGAGGCGAGCTGTACAAGCGGAAATTGAAAAAGCGGGGACATCATGGAAACAGATAGAAAAGGATGCCCAGGACAGGCTTGGCAGGAGTAATGCTGTTGATGGCCTGTGCTCCACTGGGATTTAAAAATTGCAAGAGAGAGATGGTGCTGTTTAGTTTCAGTAAAAGTTTTACGGCACTCGCAGCACAATTAGGTCATATAAGTGACGAAGATTAGAAATGTTACATGAGAGTAACAAACATAAAAAAATAAGGAAGGGTGATAAGGACGACAGATATTTGATAGGACAGAAGGAGCAAACCACACCAGAGCATCCGCCAAGCGCTTATTGTGGTGCTGTGTATGGATGCATAAAAAAGAGATCATTGAGAAAACTGAAAAATAAAACTGCAATTTAGTGTAATCAAGACAAAAAGTGAAAGGACACACAGACACAGACTGCTTTTCATTTAGTAAAAACACAGTTCAAATATTTACACAATTTAAAAAATAATGGGATCACAATTTAAAATTAACCCAAACTAATACTAATGATAGACTGTACCACTAGACTAGACCTTGACTAACACACTGCCTATATTATATAATGTGAGAGTGCAAAGTGAATTTGTCAGTTGGAGATAACATGATAGTCTGAAGCACTTAATAAGTCATACTGTATTGTCAGGAAACTATCAGAGCCGCGCACTTTCGAAAAAAAATGATCAAAGCTGCACACTTTTTGACAATGTTGATACAACTAGATTGCCGATTTCATCCAACGGCTACAGTCCCCTTGACAAAATTACTCTGTACAGCCCTCATCCAAATATATATATATTTGTCTTTCTGGAGAAGTAAGCAACTTTCAGACCATGTCTTTACTAAGCTCAAACTAAAAACACATACCAAACAGAAACACACTGCCAAGAGGGAGGAAAATAGAACAATAACAAACAAATGTTCGTAGATGGACGTCTCACAACTTCAATTTTTATCCTGAATGAGCAAGAAAATGCTGCCCCAACAATTTAAAGATCGCCGCTGTCCTGTAGAAATGTTCTTATACACCTGAAATGTCTTCATTGCCATTAGAATGATCATGCTCACTTCACCCCCTACCGTTTTCCCCTTTTGCTTCTTTTTTTCACCCCCTCCCACCCCTCTTTCCGCCTTTGCCTTCTTCCATATTCCCTTCTTCTTCGGACGACTTTTATTTGCAAGTTGTTGAGCATTTCCGGGTCTGCACACGGGAAGAGGATCGTAGTTGTGTTCCACGTGCTGAGCGAGCAAGGCCTTGTCGACCGTGCCTGTGTTGATGTGCCCGCCTTTGCCCTCCGTAAACTCCATTGCATTCGGACCACTGCGACACCTTTTTTTCACGCCGGCATTTCCGAGCTGTTTCCTCATCTGCTTGGAATAAACCTAGCGTTTTAGCAATGGTGTATGATTCTACAAACTAAGTTCACGGCGCCGTGAACAGTCACCTAGTAGCCTATTTTGTTTCAATCGCCGTCAGAAGAAAGTGAATACGTATACATTAGAATAAAAGGCTATTAGAATGACTATTTGGTAATGCTGTATATAGTGTAGTACAGTGTAGTGTGGTGCAGTCTGTAGTGATGTGTAGTTGAAGAGTGTAGGTTATGTAGGCCTAGTGTAGTACCGTGTAGTGTGCTAGTGATGTGTAGTTGTAGAGTGTAGATCTAGACTAGTGTGCCTAGGTAGTGTAGTGACTATAATATAATGCAGATCTACATCTAGATTAGATATTAGCTTAGCCTTAGCTTCTAACTTAACTCTAGTCCTGCGTCTGTGCTGAGATGCGAATCTTATCAGCAATCGATTATGTCGGACATTCCGGGCAGGCCGCCGGGTTCACTCAGTGTGTACTGTTGGTGAACAACGCCGTACGCGCACGCCGGGAAACGTGTGTTTTTTTCGCCATGAATACCGTGGGAGTGTGTGTGTTAATCGATGATGAAAATAACGCTCTACCTTTCATAGCTTTCTATTTATAAAGTGTTACAAACACATGAATAACCCCCTCTCATAAGCTGAAAAGACATTACCAGAAGTTATGCCCATTCGAATAACCTTGCTAGACGCTCTTGTTGTTATGAATTATGACCTAAGGTTCGAAAGGGGATAATATAGGTCAATTTCCTAATGTTTTGCACTCAAATTGTTCTTTACAACCTGCACAATGGCGTCAATGGTATTCAAAACTATCAAACAAGCTTATTTTTTATCAGGTAGATCTAGATCTAGATCTAGATTCTAGTATCATTTCATACAAAATCAAGCTCATTTGAAAGATTTTGCATAGAAATATGGAAGTCTTGTTTCCTGACTATTCCTTTCGAGCTCCTCATGTCTAAGTAAGTAGGTAAATTTCTTCTATAATTTCATTGGACGGACATCTAGAACAACCAACTTCTAGGCGTGTTTTGAATGAGAAGTATGCCTCGGTTATGAACCAACGCAGGCGGTTCTAGAAGAAGGCCACAAACGCACACAAACTCAAGCAGACTGACGCACACACACTTGACCTGCGTGAATGGGGATCCGACGCAGGACCCGGATTTCACGTGAGATGATGCTCGGCGCGCGTGCACGGAGCCAGGGGCTAGACTGACTCGGGACCAGAAAGCAGGCGAGGTGTCGAAATAGGCTTATCAGGCGATATAAACCCGACCCCCGCAGGACGAGGGTTAAACTTCTACTACTAGATCTAGATCTAGATCTACTAAGACTAAGACTAAGACAGTAGACAGAAACAGAAAGCAGACTCAAGACTCTACCGAGAATGGATTTCATAAGAGTTAGTATGAGCAATAAACTCACGTTCCAGCAATTTAGATCTACCAGCCCTGCACTATCACTATGTCATCATGCACAATATACTTGAGTCAAAGGCAGCATTGAATGGTTCTTGAAAGAGAGCAAAACCATTGTTTGTTTATCAATATCATCGCGGCTCACGGGAACACAGTAACATAAATAAATCACCGGAAGTCTGGCTGGAGAAATAAGAGCTCTTGTGATAAAACCAATAGACCAATGACCTTTGAAGTACAATTTGGCGTCAAATCAGCAATAGCATAAACAGACGGAAACAATGTAATTTATTGTTTACAAGATCGACCATTATCAAAGTTATATTCTTTTAGAAAATAGTTTTTATTCAGAAATATACTAAACTGCGTTTTGGCAGACCGATAGATTTTATTTTTTGTACATTTTCAAAGCGTTTTTCAAACGAATAGGCCTACTGGAATAATAAAATCACCCCTTTGCTTCGCATGCCCCACCCCCATTCATCATGATGATTAGAATTAATTGATTAGAACACCGTGCCGCATCTAATAATATGTTTTGATACGTTTTGATAGTGTCAAATTCTCGATCAAAACATTGCGTAAAAATTGCAGGGTTTTTGTTTTTTCTTTTTAAAAGATATCACGTGTTAAATTCATAGTTACGTGTATAATTTAACTAGGCCTAATTATTTGTTGCTTTTGTGAAGATGATAAACACTACAAAGTAGGTCGTAATTTTAACAAGTGTAATAATGTAAAATCAAAATAAAGACACCATGTGTGTTTAAACAAAATAAGGATTTTTTAAAAACTTATACACCCGTCTCATGTTCACGTTTTATATACTTCTTTCCTAGTAGTATTTTGCATGCTAAACACGAGTTAAGGTCTTAATTTTTGCAGCAAATCAATAGTTATTGAGTTATTGATTTTTGAAAATAGTAAATTTAACAATATGGGGGGTTTCGAGGGGGCATGCCTGACATAAAAAGAATCTGGGGGGTTTCAGGGAGGTATGCCCCCCTGCTTTTCACAATGATTTGACGTTTTGGCAATTAGGATTGATATTTACTTGAAAATAATTTATTTGCAAGGGTTTTAGTGGCCATACGTGTGTTCTACGGCAAAAATTGTGGACAGTTTAGCCCCCAAATCAATGTATCTAGATCTATACGTGTGGTGCATAAGTTAAAATTTACCCAAAATAATATTATCACAAACGGTTTACAGATTATCTTCATAGCAAAATGAATGGAATGTTTTTCTTAGATTAGAGCACCTCTACAGGGCCTACTACAAATCCGTTTCTACCAAATGAGTAGAAGTCGAAAGCAAAACAATACTTCAGATATAACCAACTAGCCTAGCCGACTTTGTGATTCAATGATTAAGGGATTGAGCTTCAATATCAGTAATGTGGTGTTCTGCTATAAACTGCACTAAATAAAATCAAAATCTGAGTTTCTTTTGATTTCCAAAGGATGAAGAATATATTTTGATGAATATAAAAATATACAGATCAAAATAATATCAATGTGATTGTGGTCCTACCAGACTGACACTCCATGCACAAACTCAACACACTTCATGTCAACTTTGTTATATCAGCTATAAATTGTGTTGTTTTTTTTCCTGTCTACATGCCCAAACTGAGCTTGCATTCTACTAGTGAAAGATATGTTACCGGGGTCTGTGAAAAGTTGTCTAAACACAAAGTGCCATTGATCGGTTTTGATACTTTCTTTGTCCGATTACCACTTTTTTTTGGTGGTGGTTG